TTAAAACCCAGTAGATTAAACAATAAGCAATTCTATGATAACGTAATGTTATCGAAATTGATTGCCCAATCGTGAATTTTCAATCTGCATGTTCCTCAAAGTTTTTTTTTGCTATTTTACGACTTGAAAAGTATTAAAATTTTTTAAAAACCCCATTAATTCCAAACAATGAACGATCCAAGAATACTATTATAAAATTTTTACTCAACAGTAAAGTTATAAAAATCCAATGTTCAATTGAAAAATAATTACAACTTTAAGTTTTATTGTACATACAAGTTGTTTTATTTATTGTTAAATAATTGCTGATTTTTTTATCGGAGTATCCGAACTCTGCCACAAAATGCAGGTAGTCATTATGGGTTGTTCGAACTCTGCCAGGTTTTAAAATTTTAGGGATTAAGTATTTAACCCGTAGGGGTCTAATTGTTTAATCCGATTTAACAATTTCATAATATATTTTCAACGTATATTTGTAACAAAAAATACATGTACATTTTAATAAAATATATAGGTTTAAATATACACATAAAAATAAAATAAAATTATATCTGAGGAAGATTTTTACATGTCACCGTTTTCACAAATATAAAGCGAGAAATAGTATTTTTCTTATAGTTTTCCGTATGATTATGAATAATTATATGTTTTTTTTTCCGATTTTAGTTCGCCGAACGAATTTTCGCGTATATATCCGTTTGAAAATCTAATAACACACTAATAAATTAGACAATATTTGGGTGTGCTTTATAAAGAGTTATTAAAATGGGAATGAAAACTCTCACAAGAATTAGTTGTCCTCTTAAAAAAGTCTGCAATGTTTGCCCAAATATGTGGTGGAAATATCGAATATTGTTTTTTATACGTTTTATTGACATAATTGCGAAATTATATAATTCTCTCATCGTTTGGAAGCAAAAAATGTAGTTCGTTATTAAAAAATTCAACAACTTCCTCAGGTCTAAGAAACATCATTCCAAAATGTACTTTTAAGTAGTCGCCAATTACTCAATCTTTCTGCATGTACTCTTGTACCCAATGAAAATCCAGAATCTTTCGAAACCAAGCTTGACAGAGATGAAATTTACAACCAAAAATAATTTGATCTCTACCAAAACATCCATATATAGCGTTATGAATGCTTAGTTCAAAATCTACTACGACTTCTTTGCGTTGAAATTTTAAGTTTTATTTAGGTAATATTATAATAAACCCTAATGACACTAATAGGATTAAACTTAATGGTCGTGGCAGAGTTCGAACCATTCAGTAATCCCCAAATTGATACAATTCAGGTAACATTTTATTTTGTGGCAGAGTTCGGATATGCCCTTTTTTATTACTTGAATACTGTATATGAATTTTCTGCATTATCGGTCGATTTTTAATGCACTCCTGTTGATTGAGGGGTCCAAATAAAATTTTTAGTATTATTGAATCTACATAAAAAAGAAGTTTAATCAAATAAACATTAAAAATAAGGTTATTATCAACTATACCGTAGAGGAACCATTAAAATTTTATTTTAATTTCGATTAAATAGCAATTGGGTTTTTATACGTGCATTTACGTAAAAAACAATTTACATAATCTCAATCGCATGGTGAAAATATGTTATTTTGTAGCTTCTTTCAGTTTCAGATAACATTAGAAAAGATTATTAGAAAATCTAATAAAACACTAATTTCAAAGATTACCGGACTGAATTCGTCGTGATTTATTATATCGAACGAATAAATTATTATTATTTGTTAATCTTGCTGTATTCAAATGAATTTAAATATCTAAGAATATAAAAATGTTATACAAGACGTTCGATTCACGGTTGTTAGTATATTTATGAAATAATTTATTACATACATGCATTTGAAAACCATGAAATCGTTAAAAAGATATTGGCATTTTAAAAAAACACCAACTATAAAAAATATCGTTTTACTAATTTAGAGATTACGATGAACGTTGCGTTTATGAATGAAAATCCACGATTAATATTTAACCTTGACTTTTAAACTTTTAACAAGTTTACTAGCAAATTAAAAAGTAACACCTTGTTTCTTTAGGTACGTTTCTGTAGGCACGACCATAATGGAGTTTTCTTACAAGTCTTGCAACACATGGGTAATTTTAATAAAGCAGAACGTAACATTTGCAAAGAGTATAAAAAGTACAAGGCGAATCATATAGAATGAAGTAGTTTTGATAACAAGGATAGTTATGTTAACATACTGTCTAAATGCTCTGGAAAATATGAGGTAGGTACAGAAAAGTGCAAAAACACAGGTGTGAAACACCTGAAAACTTTGAGTTTCAGCGTTTTATACTGTAATAAAACCATATTTGCTTCATCTAAGGGTTGAAGTTTCTATTGTATATAATTAACATCTGCTTAATATTTCATCTAGATTTCAAATTCCAAGTGTATCTTGGAAAATATGTAATTCTTGTAGATATTCTTAACAAACTGTCTTATCCAACACCAAAGAATTCAATAATAATTTTGTAAATTGTTACTCTTTTGACTATTAAAATTCCTATAATCTAATAGAATCACAAATACACAAAGATAAATTTTATCTGAATCAGAGAAATCTGTTCAATATGTTTCAAACGCTGATTAATTTAAGCAATTTGACATGTGCATGTTTATAAATTCTCCATCAAAATACGTAAAGTACATCTATATTTAATTTACAAATGTCCATCCCAAAGCAAGTCCATCAATCGATATGCGATCTAACTCGTTAGCTCTCGATTATAGTGTACATATAATTAAAAATAACCGCCAATATATAAATTAGTAGTCGCTTAATTGATATCGAAATAAACAGTTTCCGCGCCAGACAAGTCGATAGAAAACGACGTGAATGTGGTGAAAAAAAAAAACCTTCGGAACCAGCGCTACCAGAATTCGAACGCGGTAATAGCGAAATAACACCGTTAGCCCATAGCGCGTATACGGGGAAAGAACCAGTCGCGAACTTTTTCAATCCTCCGGTGCTGGTGAAAGTCCGCGGAGCCGGCAACGCGGGCGACGTTGTCGGTTCACCTGAAGCCGATAGCGACGGGCAGTAAAAGCAACGCGGCGCAATTAATGCCGGCGGTCCTCTGAGTCATACAAAAACTTGTTTTATACCCTTTCTTGTTTTATACTCTCTTGCTCGCGCAACTTAGCGTTTTATTACTACTGGAAGTACTGGATCTTTGTGTGGCGGCAAACGCAGTGGCAGCCTAGCCCAGCGCTTTCTTCGCCAATTCAAGTTCATTTTCTATCGGTTACAAATAGGCGCATAACAAAATCCGCCGGTTATTAACTAAGTACTTACTCATTTGAGATTACATCGCAACGTAACGTAGAAAGACTTACCTGCAAAAAGAAAAAAAAATTAAAACTGGTATAGTAAAGATAGTACAATTGTGTACCATTGTTCACCATTATTTATGTTGCAAAATTCTTGTAGTTATTGCGATGAAAAGTTGATTATTAAATCTATGTATGCATGCATAAAAAACCCAAATGAAATCAAAAATCTAACTCAAACATTAAAAGTGAAGAAGGTATTATTCTGACCATCTCAAAAATCTGGTGGTCCACAGCTAAATTTTTCTCTATAAAGTTCTGACTGTAAAGTTATTTCAAATTACCTTATAGATATCTAAATAATCTAATTTCTTTAGCAATGATGAGAGAATAAAATTTAATAGTCATAAATTTTAACTTGTTGTACAAGCAAAACTGGACGACTTTTTGCAATAATGAAATGAAGGGATGCGAACTGCAAATTGCAGAACTATTCATTCCCCTCTATTGATTGATATTTGTTTTTTCGAAGCTTTCCTATTCGGCATTGTAAAAAAGAAGAAAGACGACAAAAGTAGAATTGTATATTGTTGAGCTGCTCCGCACTGCGAAAGGGCTTCAAAAGCCTTTGAAAAATAAAATAACTCAATTCTGCCGTTTTTTATCTGCATTTTTGCAACCGCGCCACAGACAATGGGCTCTGTTTTTGAGGGTTCGTCCTTTCTTGAATTCGTCCTATTAAACCCACACATTCTTTCCAGCTAATTAACGGAAAATATGTATTCCATTCCGGAATACAAGCACCAGTGTAGTGGAATTTGCTTACAATTCAAAAATAAATTCTGTACAAAGGTAAGTACGTTTACTAAAATTGATAAAAGAAATAAAAATTTACAATGTCCTCAGACCTTTGTAAATTACCAGAATTGTGGACGGTATTTGAAACAAAACAAAGATACCCTATTTAAAACTTGAATGATAGTAACAATAAAACCACTAATTTAATCTACAACCAAACTAGCTAAAAATACGTAAAGTTGTATTTAAAAGTTCATACTATAAAATAATACCGTTTACCCGACCCTGTTTCATTCAATTACTTTTTAAGTCTCGGTCCTGGCGTATGAATATTCAATAAATGCATCGCATCATTCGTTGTAAACATACCACGTACCGCATGCGTTGAGTTTGTGAACAATAGAAGAAAAAAGGGCAGGTTTCATCACGGCGAGCGACTTACCTTTAGGGTTGGGCGGATTTACACCGTTCACTATTATAGTATAGGTGAATAGGAATCGGAAAAGACGGGACGGAAATTTAAAGGCGTACATTATACGTTACGTTCGGACGGCTACGTTACAAGCTTAAGCAGTTAATGATATGAGCTTAACAGATGTCTCTCTCGCTATGTAAGGGACCGTACAGACGGTATGCGTGTGTGTGTGCTTGCGTAGGAGGAAGAATATACGATTAGAGCCAATGTATGCACAGGCGATTGAAAATCAATTAGTTTAAAAATGTAAGATAGAAAAAGATAAGCGTGTCCGCCTATGATGAAAGGAGGACGAAAGCTTGGTTTAAAGTTTAGTAAAAGAAGCATGGTTTGATAATGTGATGATTGAAAATGGTAACATAGTAATTTTAATACTCTTCAGTATTTTTAACTCTTCAAGAATTACATGTGGTTCTCTTATTTTTTCTTTTTCATTCCATTCTTCCCTCATTTAACTACTTGTTTGTCACTAAAACAAAATCTTCTAAACTCGAAACTGTTTAAAACTCTCAACAGCAACTTAATAATTATATGCATAACAGCATAATGATCAAATTCCACAATAATCAAAACTTCACAACTCCGTCACCAGCAACACAAAACTCAACCCGACAAGAAAATCGATCAACAGCATTTATATATTAAGTTTAAGAAAATATTAGAACACAATAATACGTTGAAGCTTCTCGTTTATAACACCAACAACCTATTGAGTGGGCAAATCCTGGCAACCCGAACTGCATTTCCAAAGCAACCCCATCAACCAATCGAGGAACCGGGAGGATTGCGACGTTTTCGGCGAGCCTGCGGCCAAATAGGTCGCGCTGAGGTCCCCCACGGACGTGGTGATGTTGCGCCTGCTGACGCCGTTATCCAAAATCACGTGTATATTAACTTTGGAATAGGGCGTCGAAGAGGGCCTGGCGCTAGCGGTGGAGCGTCTGCAGACGCTCTGGCTGCTTCCCGAAGCGGTCTTGGGCCTCTTCGTGACGGACATGGATTCGGGGTCTTGGAGTTTTGACGTTTGTAGAGGGATTTCGATGAAAGAGGTAGCAATCGATGTGATATCTCCAGTTACCGTCATCGATTCGCTATCCAAATCCGTGGGAAACTTGTGAACGATTATAGATGTAGATGAGTCCATTAAATTATTCTTGGTGGGTGGGAAAAACGAGACCGGTTGGTATTAGGTTTTTGGTGTAAAATTCATTGTCAATTTTATCTGAGATTGTGACGTTTGCTGCGGTTTTGAGGTTGGTAATTAAAGGTGCGTTTGATATTAATCACTTTTGAGTTTAATTAAAATGTAAAGCTTTAAATTAGTAGGTGTGTACAGTAATTTCTGAGTCTAAAGAACGGTGGAAAATTTGTAAGGTAGCGCATTAATAAAACAAATTTCTTTAACCAGTTATATCATGCAAAATAACCTAAATGTTATTGATGAAGGTAACTATAAGAGTTGGATAAATAATAGCTATCATTACAACCATTTTTCTGCTTATACCGAAGCACGCAACATATTTTTTACAAAAGTCTCCTAATTATCTCTAATAAAATCGAACAGGCCAGCTAATGAATATTGATCATTTCTAATTAAAACGTACTCTAATATATTCGAAAAGTTGGCATAAAACCATCATACGAAGATAAGGACGAAATAAAGTTTAGTCCAAACAGGAATTTAATTAAAAAAATGATAAATGGAGTTGGGAAAAGCTGCTTCGACTGTTAAAATTTTGCAATTTGGTTAGTTGTAAGTTCGAGAAGTATGTTCTAACGCCACAATTTTTTGTCATATATTATGTATTGTCGTTACCTAGATCATTATTTTAATAATTTATACATTCTAATACACAAGTAACAATTAATGTTAACCTATTTCTTTTCCTGCTACTCTTATAATTAAGTCAGTTATTAAATAACGACCTAATTTCGCTTTTAAACACACACACATTCCTAATTCATAATTTCAATTTTAATTACCGACTCCGGCTGGCAATTTCGCATGGTTCGCTGGCCCGGAGAAGGCGGTGTTTTTTGGTTTAACACTCGCACGTCTTACGTTTACACGTAAGTATTACACAATTACGCGGCGTTAACAATGCTTTTTCCGGCCGTTTACATCGAAAAGTTTAGACTGGCCGTCGCCGTAAAATTTAAAAACAATTAACAGATAGGCAGTTCGCACGACCGCAGGCCCCCCTGTTAAACCAAATATAATTGTAGGGAAACTGTGGTACAATTAACATTTAATGCCTGCGTTGGAAATTCTCATTTCTCTACAGTTATTTTTTAAAAATCTCTTTAATAATACAATAAATATTACATAAAGTATAAATAATATAGAGCGACCTTTAAAATATTCTTTCATGAAAAAATGTTATGCTAAAAACTTTAAAAATCTATTAACATGTTAATGTTTAAAGTTTGCAAACTTTAAAAATTAATAAAAAATCTATCTGAATTTATTGAAAAAAACACGAAATAAAAATTTTGGGTTTCTCTATTTGATGGTAGAAAGTTTTGCATTATCCTGCTCAAATACTTATTACATTTGACCCTTTAGGTCAATTTTGCAAGCCAAAATACTTTGACACTTATTGAATATTCAATATATGTATGTATAATATGCTTGCTAATTTATGCCAATTTTAAAAATAATTAATGATTGTATAGGAATACAACGTATTAACATAAAATGTTACCACTGCTGATTTTTCTCAAATCTATTAAAGATTCGAATGGAATCTATTATGGATATATTAGTAAAATGTTTAGTCTTATAAAATGAAACAAAAAATGTAAGTAAATCTAAATATTAAATAATTCAAACAGTCAAAAAAACATTCTATTCATACTTTACAGATCAGAATTTTTCAACCCGATATTTTTAAAAATTAATTCAAGCGCAAGCGGAGCTTTCGACTGTTTCAAATTGGGGTAATTTTTACGTCTAAAAATAATTCACCAACGAACTCACCTAACAAAAAATACCCCCTCGAATGTACACACATTGACATGCACGACGGGAAACAGAGCGGGGACATTACTGCGCGCTGTACAATCTTGTATTTCAGTAATCGAAAAAATAACATAAGCCGTGATCGCGATCGACAATAAAAAAATCGATGGGAACGCTGATTTTTCGCCAAATAAAAAACGCAATAATTTACGTTTTTCAGGTGACGTGATTATTTTGTTGTTGCAACCAATGGCGTGCCGATCAGACAATCGCTAGTAGCCTGCTATTGTTCCAATTATTAATCATATTTGATAAACTGTTGTATCGATAATATGTACATACATGTAGAAATAGATACATATTTGCTACTTTTCAAAATTAAAAAAAATTCAAAGTTCAATGACTGAAGTGTCATGTTTGTGGTGGGTAGCACAGTAAATTCAAAATTGCGAAATAGGCGAGCTTGAGTCTGTAGAGGTCATAAACTCAAAATAAGCTATCATATCTAGAAAAAAGTAACAAAAATTCTTGAAATTCCGGTAAACCAGCTTATTAAGATGATAAAAAAGCTTTAGGAAAACCACCACAAGATCAAAAATATCACTATAAGACAAAAATTTCGCATAAACGAAAAAAAAAAGGAATTTCCATCCACCCAAAAGAGAAGAAAATGTCCAAAAAGTCTTTAAAATACTTCATCAAAATTCTTTAAACCGAATCTGCAAGTATAAAAATCAATTATTATTAAAATATAGCTGTTACGCTACTGTTGCGCGACATAAACTACACAATTAATTGTGAAATTTACCCATATAGTCGAAGAATCGAATTTTCTCCGAAAATTCAAGTTTATGTTTTCCACATGATCAAGGCGATTTCTCGGGGTTGCCGTTGGGTAACGTGTTGATTGATGGATAATTGAACGTTTAATCGTGATTTCTTACTACAATAAATCATGTCAGCGTTCTTGTAACGCACGACGACATATTTCGAACCGTTTAAAGAGAATTATTTATTTACTTCGTTTTGCAATGATTCGCCATGCTTCATTTTTAAAATAGCGAGCAGAGCTTTTTGTAATTCGATAACGAAATGCGCGCTCGAAAAGTTCTCTGCTTTCCGAAAAACGCGCTTTTTGCCTTATTACTTTTTGATTCGATTGAAATAATAAATATTGACGTTGTAATAAAACGCGATAGGGTATCGTAATAGGTCAGAATATGGGAAATAAATTTAAATCAATAATTGATTTCTTTGTTCTTTAATTAGATTAATTACTGAATGCACGGCCAATTTGCTTTCGATTTATTTCTGTTTGATTTTTAAACAACAGTTGATAGAAGTTGAGTTATTGCATTATAAAATAAACTATATTTAGGCCATTTTCGATATTTGATTGTTTATTTAGTGATTTACAGAAGGTTAGAATGTGTAATTTTTGTAAGTTTTTAATTTTAAACAAATTACCAATTTTTTAATCAACATGTTGGATATTTAGGATTAAAATAAAAATGCTTAATTTGCATTAATTAAGCAGAAAAAATTATTAATTGAATTTGTTGATCCAAATAAATTTTAGAAAAATAAAATACTTTTTTCCAGTCGATTTTCTTCGGTTCAGCAAAAATCATAATTAACGTGTGGGCAACACAAATTTTTATTATCGAACCTTCATAAATACATTAAACAATTAACATCACATTGTAATAAAACGATAAAAATGTAAGTAAGACGGAAAATGATAATTTTAGCATTATTATTCTCACATTCAATCCAATAAATTTATATAGATTTAGTAAAATTAAATCTTTTTTATACCCACGCTTAATCAAAATCGAATTAATAAAAAGTCATTTCGTGTAACGAATGCCCTGTAAGATAAAATCGTGTTTGCAAAAACAAAATACTCCAAGAGTCTCAAAGAAACACCTAGGTAATTTTAAATATTTATTAGTTCATTAAGTAAATTAAGGCACAATTTAGGTAGTACATCTTCTGTAACAGTATCATTTTTAACTGCACTAAACCGTGAAAAGTAAAGTATTATAATTTTCCGTTATGTAATAGAAACAATTAGCCGTAATCTATTATTAGTAACATCAATTAAGCATCATGTCCGATCTGCGAAATTCATTATTTCACGTCACGCTGACCTGAAAGCACCTTCGCAACGAGCCCGTCAACACGAAAAACAAAGAGTTAACCCATCCATAATTAAGCGACTTAATTGAGCGTCCGATGGGCATCGTTTCGACGCCGTTTTTTAATTTTCAGTTCCATATCGTAGTCTTTCAGTTTTGCGCAAACTTCCTAGAAATCCGCGGCATTTTCGTTGATCGCTCAGCGCTTCGATGTTATGCGAAAAAATAGATAAAAATTTACGCTTCGCATAGTAAAATGTTCAGCACAACAATCAAATCCGAATTTCTTAATTGTAATACCGCGCACGAAATGTTTCAAGCGCACATTTTTTTTCTTACATAATAGAGCGCTTTGAATTGATTAGGTTATGGTTTTTAGTTATCTTGTTTACAGGGGAATTAAGTTTATTGTTGTTTTTTTCCGGTACTTCATCTATCCAATCATTGATATCTATAATTAATTAATGAAACGTTTTTTGTGAAATTTCTTTAGGAAGTTCAAAAAATCGATCAGTTCGCAAATTAATAATTTCTTATTCTCTATTTTGTTACATCAAAGCTTAAAAAATATCAGATTCAACAGATACTCAGATATGAGTTTGAATAGATGTTTTTTAAGAATTCTTTTTATTACCTTTAAAAGGGACATGTTTCAATTAGACGTATTTTTATTTATCTGAATAAAAAGAAAAAAAACCTCGGAGAAAAAGAAAATACGGTATAAATCTAACGAACGTAATATATAAAGTGATGCTTATCTTGCTAAAAGGATCACCGAAGCATCGACTTCGTTATCAAGTACAAGTATTCTGGATTCCTAGGAAATACTTGTCTGCTTTTTAATTGAATATTTACACGGCTTTGATAATGCCGAATAGGTGCATTATTTCGACCTTCTGCCTGCATCTCACGGCCATCTATCATTCACCGGAGTCCGATGACCGTGCTTCAAAGCGCGACGAAAAAAATATTTATAATTCACGATTTTAGCGTCTCCGAATAAAAACGGTTGCAACTTCGCCTCGACATGAAAAAATTATGTTATTGATCCTCGGTTAATTTCGACTTCTATTTTTACCTTGAAGTGAAAATAAAACCTCGTAATGTTGCAGTGGATTAACGCTTTTTTTTG